TGCATCGATTGGCACAAATATATAACATGCACAAACAAACAATAAATAAGTTATTGACGACACGATTGTCCAAGAGAAAAGTTACCTTTATATTTGATAAACCTCGTATACAATTAATAAAATTCGATATTTTAGGTTTTAGACCATGCAACTGTTTATGAAAATAAGTTTTTTTTCTAAAATTTACTTACATATAAATGAGACTAAATATATTGAACATATTTTTTACTAATGCAGATCAAAATAAAGTATTGTGGGTAAATAAGCTAATAAAAATAATAAGGTAACACTTTTTTTAATATATTTTTTCTTTTTGTTTGGTTTTTTGGGTGCAAGACCTTTCCGTATATACAGGGTATTCCATTAAGAAGGAGATAAAGAGCAACTGAAAATTAACTGATTAGAAATAAGCCGATTAAATGAAACATCCGTAAATACAAGAGTCCGAAATACAGGGTGTTAAAGTAAAGGTGAAAATCAAAAATTATGAATAGCTACAATTTTTTCATAACTCGGTATTAATTCCCTAAATTTAGCAAAACGCGTTATTAGTGTAATTAAATCAAAATCATTCACTCTTTCTAAATTTTAGTCCACTCTACAAAAACTTGTTTTTCAAATAAAGTTGAGTTAAAAGTATTTAAAGTGTGTAGGTAGAGTTTTATTAATAAAACTCAGTAATATTAGTCTTAGCGCTTTCAGCCTGTTATGCCATCATCAGAGACTTTGTCAATAAATGTAGAAGGAGCATAAAAATTAATTATTAATAGTTTACTAGATTAAAAGGGCTACCACAATAACTTGAGGCTTGAAACGTAGCAAAACCAATCCTAACAGGTGGTTGCAAATTAGGAAAAAACGTGGGGGCTCATCCCAACACGTCCCACATTTTTTTATTAAATTTCTAAGCAGAGTACATTATTTATTTAAAAAACATCTAAAACTTTTTAGATAGTGACGTAAAATTTAGGAGGGATGCTGTATTACGTGCTAATGCTGTACGCCACTGGAAAAATTAATTTAGATAACTAATTTTTTGCTGATAGGTGGATATTATGACACCAAACACGTGTACCAAATTTAGTAAAATTGAAGTAAGTAATAAAAAAAGTGTAGCCATAAAGAATTTTTGGATTTTAAAAATTTAACAATATATTTCGGTTTGCTCTTAAGAGCGATATCCATGGTTAGAAACAGGCTTAAAACGACTTCAAGGTTCTCTTTCTCAGTTTTAAATATTTTTTTATAAAATTTGGTATACCTACTAAGCAAATGATAGAGAACTCCGCTGTAGAGCCCGAATTCAGAAAAACAAATTTTTTAATTATTTCTATACAAATTATGAAAATTATTGCAAAAAGGAGTCTTTACCGGGAATTGTTATATAAAAATCAGCTAATTCTTTCCAATACACTTTTTTGTCCAAAGCGTATATTTTTTGAAAACCTTGAATTAGGAAATCTGAGAAAATCTGTCAAGATTCCAATCCATATTAATTGATTTGGCAACAAGGCGGCGGCCGTTGGCGGTGCATGCAGTACCGGAAAATTGGGATAAAAGTAAAATAATAAAAAACTTTATTCTTTTTAGTTCAAGTGTAGGTGTAGGTGTTTTTGTTTCGTATTTAGTCAATGTATTTATATGAACTTTTATGTGTAAGCTGAGTTATAATAATTTGTGATAAAAATGGGAAAACTTTCGGAAATGCCGAAAATTATATTTCCGTTTCGACGGAAATCTATAAAATATCGTGCTAGATTACTTAGAAAAAGACAAACATTAGCACCCCTTCTAAGCATTAAAGTTAAAATATATGGGAAATTAATATACTAAGTATTGAATAAAAAAAAAACCTTTAGCTTTAAAGCAATATTTACAAATTTAAAGCGGATATCCAATAAATGTGGTTTATTTGTGGATTCTGAATATGGTTTTTAGGTTCCGACGGTTTATTAGGAACAGACAGTATTATCGAAATTAAATATCCTGCCACTGCTTCAAAACTGACTCCGAAAAAAGCAATGGTTGACAACATAATAAAATTTGCAATTATTAATGATAATGCGAAAATGCAATAATTGTTCAGGGGCAACTTAACGTAACTAAACGAAATATTTTTTTTTTTTTATTTATTTTAATACCTTTAAGTATGTTAGTAGAAAAAATAAAAAAGATGATAGATTTTGGTGTATATGGAAAACAAACTAAAGCAATTTTATTTAGATTGTATACTACCCGAGATCTTAGATCCACGTTTCACTAGAGGTTTAGATATTAGAAATTTGAGTAGAAATCCGAGTAGAAATCCAACCAATAGTCAATAAAAATGATTATTTTTATTCCTTCTTTTACTAATAATAAATCATTTTACTCAATGTTATTTTTAAATATTTTTAGTACTAGAAAACAATTTTTTCTACACCCAAATGGATAGCGTATCTACGTACAGACTACAAAACAAAAAAATATGCTATTGCGTAAAATGAGTTATACTTGTGTAGAATCGATAAATAATAGCATTTCTAGTTTTATTTGATCTATATTTAGAAATAAATAATTATAAATTTTAATTAAACTATAGAAATCAATTTAATTTATATTCACTCATGTTACACAAACTACTATTTTCTACATCCACATGGATATGCTTTTTTCTATACCCACATGAATATTAGCTAATCTACGCACATACTACAAAACAAAAAAAGTATTCCATTGCGTTCAACTGAACGAATATATTTCATATTCATTCTACCTAGTAAGAACACTGCAAAACAGTTAAATCCACCAATCAGATTATATATTGGTCACCCGGCTACTATTATTTTTTAAATTTTATGTAGTCAAACTAACTGTCAGTATATTTTTGAATTATTGAGATTAAATATACGTAAAAATGAATATTTCTTATGTATAATCGATAAGTAATAGAATTTCTATTTTTATTTCGTCCAAATTTATAAACAAATCTTAAATTCTAATCAAACCATATAAAACTAATTTAATTACAAGTATTAGAACTATAATGGCAAGTGTGGCGACGGCACGGAGTTTGTCTCCAAGCGAGAGACCCGAGTTCCAATCATGGCTGGGGACTAATTAAATTAAATCTTTTTGTATGTTTATTTTATTTTATAAATTATTAAAAGTCATACATTATTTTAAAATTATTTATTTTGTCTTAATAAATTACTTTTTTAAATTTGTAGAATTTCGTTAGGGTGTCGTAGAAAAAATATACTGTACAACTCGAGTGGATTGTCTGTATCGCACTCAGAAGATTAAGCACTCCGTCTACGGCGTCGTTCTGAAACTTCGTCTTCGTGCGATATGGCCATCATATCCAATTTTGTTGCACAAACTACTATTCACGCACAGACTACAAAACGAAAAAATATACTATTGCGTTCAACTCAACGAATATATTTCATATCCATTCTGGGTAGTGAGAACACTGCAAAAAAATGAAATCCACCAATCATAGTTTATATATTGGACACCCAACAACTATTATTTTTAAAATTTTAAATAAGTGACAATTCTGTCAAACTAATTGTCAGTATATTTTTTAGGAATTGAGATTAAATATACATTAAAATGAGTTATTTTTGCGTAGGATTCATAAATAATTTTAATTTAGACCACAATTTAAAAAATCCTAAATTTGAATTAAACTACCTATATGAAACTAATTTAATTACTACTTTTAGAACTAAAATTTTAAATGTGGAGGTGAAAATGACGATACGGCATCTGTCTTTCACGCGAGAGGTCCGAGTTCAAATCTGGGCTGGGGACTAATTAAATGAAATATTTTTTCATGTTTATTTTATTTCACAAATTAGTAAAGTCATAAATTATTTTAAAATTAATTATTTTGTCTTTTCCTAAAATAATACTTTAAATTTGTAGATTTTCGTTAGTGGGTCGTAGAAAAAAACATACTGTACAACTGCAGTGGATTGTCCACTGTTGTTGCACAAACTAGTATCAAATGGGTTATTATTTAAAAAAAGTATTTTTATACAGGGTATTTGTAAATAAGTACGAACGATTTTTGCAAATTGTTATCAAAGTTATTTTGTTAAAAAAAGTTCCTATAAAAGTAGGTCGAAATATGCTTCGTTTCCGAGATACAGAATGTTTAAATTTTAATTTATTAAATTTTATTAATTATTTTTAATAGTTTTAAAGATATTTACTCTAAATTTGCAAAAAAACTTTGAAGAGGCAAATGTGTATTTTTTGGGGTGTTCCAAATATTTCTACTTGTACCAGTGGCGTTTGTGCGAGAATGCCACTTTTTTAATAAAAAAGTACTGCGCCACTGACTTTTTCGATCTATGTTTTTTTTATAAAATAACTTCGGCAAACATTCCCTAAAATCATTCACACTTACCAACAAACACCCTGTATATCAGAAAATGTAGAAATAGGTACATATGTATATTTAAAAATATATTTCGTAAATAAATAAATTAGTTATAAAAAAAATTTTTCGAAAATGTTACACCAGGTTATACCTTTAAAAGATATTTTAAACGAGAAAACAAAACAGAAATACTCTTTGTTAGACCGGACCTGCGATTTATCGGCATTTTTAATATTTTAAATCATCTATAGTTTTATAAGTAATAAATTGAAGGGAGCGTAAGCCTGGGAATAGAGCAACGTTGCCAAAGTGGGTTCAGATGCACTGAAAGTTATCAGTGTGTTCTAAATCTGAATTTGCTGTTAGGTGTTGCATGGATATCGCTCTTAAGAGCCAATAAACACGGCGCGTTCGCCAAAAAAACAAAAACCGATTTTGAGTATATACTATTTTAGGCTTTACATTATATTGATACTGCCATTGTGATTCAGTTAGTTAAATATAAAAAATTATATACATAAAATGATATTGATTTCTTTTAAAAAAAACCTTCATTGTTTATGAAACATTTTGAAAATTAAAAAGATTGCGCCAATTTTTCTTTTTAAAATATATTTTATTGTTGCAGGTTGAAATGCTCTACCAAAGATATTTCCTCAAGATGAACCAAAGCAACATGACCAACTTGATAACGTTACTCCTCTTGTTGTGCGTTTGCCTATTGGTGATCTCTTTGACGGACTTCGTGATGCCTCGCCCGATGGATGAAGGCATCTTGGGGCCAGAATCGATGAGATACGATAAATTGGTGGTCCTTATGTGTACGGCGGGGTGTTGTATAGCTATTTATGGAGGTAATTATATTTTTTGTACTGTAAAAATGTGTTGTTACTATAGTCTAGTTTTATGTATGAGAGAGTATTAAAATATTAAAGCGTTCGCAATCCATAGGCGTACCACGTCTTTTAGTAGACAGCTAAAATATTTTTTGAAGTTATTCCTTGAGTATACACTTATATTTTCACCTAATTAACCTGTTTATAACTTCTAAACAGCTGAAGGTAAAAAAAGTGCAATTTTTTCTAAAATGTTTTATTTTTCCACAAGGTATGTTAAGAACATTGTGTCAAACGGATTATGTAGGTATAAGGGTTTAAACTTTGACTTTTAAACAACATTACGTTCATAAATAATAATTTTAATATAAAAACCACTTCTTACCTACAAATCCAAATCAGAATCGAAATCAGAAGATGAACTATCGCAACCAATATTTACAATGAGTGGCTCGATCATTTCATCAGTAATATTGTCCAACTTCCACATTTTCTCTTCTTCTTTAATCGTATGATTTACTGCCTTTTCCCAGTTTTCAGGCTTCACATTATTTACAGCCTCCAAAAACAACTGTTTAACATCACTCATTTTAAAAGAATTATTTTTTCTTTAAACTTCTCCCTTTAACTGTGCCCATATCAGTTCAATCGGGTTTACTTCGCAATGTTATGGTGGTGATCTAACCACCGTCATCCCACGATTTTTTGCAATTTCATCAATTTCATATTTTTTGAATTTCTCTTTATGAAGGGAACACAAATGATACAGTTCTTTTCTCACAGAACCGGGATGGAACTTAATATTCTTTGAATTTAGCCAATTCTGTAAATCTTTTTTTAACCACTTGGTTGTGGGCATTTTTTCTATAAGTCTCGAGTGATAACTTGCATTATGCATTACTATTATACAGTTCTGAGGAAGAAGATCTATAATTTGTTCGAACCACTCTTTAAAGACATCAGTATTCATGTCCTCATGGTAGTCACCGGTACGAGTAGATTCAAAAGTCAATAAACCACCTTTAACAAAACCGTTTGAACTACCGATGTGTACTATTATTAGTCTGCGCCCCTTTCTTAATGGTGGATTTAAACCAGTAGATAAATTATTTAAAGAAGCCTGTCTTCGACTTGTAACAGTTTCATCTTGTCAAAATTTATTTAATTTATGTCCCTCGTTGATCCATGTTTCATCTAAATAAAATATATTTCATCTTTAGTTTCTCATTTCTTTTATAGTCCTTAGGTAATTTCTTCTCCATACTACAATATCGCTTCTTTCTATTAAAATAGACTTTCTGGAATGCTTTTTCCATAGAAAACCTATTTCTTTTAAAAGTTTTCATAGTGTGCTTCGACTCATTTCAGGGTAATCCTTATCATCTCGAACCGTGGCAAGAACTTTGTCTACTGTCGGAAGTTCTTTTCTAAAGAAGAACGCATGCACTTTCCTTCGAAGTCTTTCTTTCAAAAGATTTTCTAATTGAAATTTTGGTTTTCCTGGAGCTTTACGTGCTGTTTGAAACTCGCCACATTTCTCTTCTTTAACAACTCTGTAAATCGTAGATTTCCCAACACCAAGCGTACTACTAACTAATTACACTGTGTCATCAACACTTTTACATAAATCTTTGTCTGTAAATGATTTAAAACAATTAAATATTAATGTTTTTTCATTAACTGTTAAAGGACCGAGTTTTTGTCGTTTACGCGGCCCTTCCAAATTTTCCATGATCACACTAGAATTCACACTGCACCTTGCAAGTTGCAACTAAACGACATTTAGTAAACTGTCAAGAATACACAACTTGCACTTCTTACTAAATGGAAAACCTATAATCGCGTTTTCGGTGAAATTTGTTGGGAAGGTATTTATCTACTTATAATTCGATTACTGTAAGAAATTCCTGGAATTAAAATAAAACAAAATTAGGTACTTATTGAAAATAATCTTAAGATACGGCTATGTAATCTTTAATACACAGGGCTTTTGGCCTGTCCAAACCTTTTTTATTATTCTGTACAGCTTATGTTTATAAAGGACCAATAAAAGACCCAAAACTTCTAATAGCTCAGGTACATTTATTACAATTTTAGGAAATATTTAGATTATTCTGTAAAAATATTTAAAATGACCGTACTAAGTTTTGCATTAGAAATGCTGTTTTATTACTCTCTCATACATAAAAATAGACTATAGTTGGTGGCGTCTATTCTACAATTTTATCTAAATTTTCTAAAAGTAGGGAATATAACTAAGATAATTCCAATGGGAGTCTACTGAATTACATAAACATCTGTCAAAATTTATCAGGGTGCTAATTTTTAATGAAAGTTCTTGAAACTGGTTATTAAAGACATTTATATTATTTGCTCTTTTACTCTTATGGTAGATACTCTTTTCGCATAGGCATAACTATTTTTGTTTTGTTTCAGTGTTACTCAATATTGTATCAAGACCTGCAATGAATGAAGTTTACCTCATCATTATATCCTACTTCATACTAGTCACTTTCGTTACCATGGAGGTGAGTTCCAAAACTGATTATATGTTATATATTTGTCTTACCTGTATCTGTGGAACCTGAAACAAAAAATAATAAAATTAGAAGGTTATTTATTTGCTTTAAACTTAAATCAATTTCATATAAAAATTGTTTCGGCACTGATGTCATCATCAGACCTAAAATATAAGCAAAACACAGTTATTGTTGAGTAATGATATTAAGCCTGCAAAGACTAACAAATGTTTTATACACCTAAGTAACACAAAAAGTTATATAAAGGTTATATCGACGTATTATATAAGTTATATCAAAACTTGTTTACCACTTGAGTTATAACTGTCGAAAAATAAAAACATTTTTAAAGGTTATGTAGATGTGCTGTGTTTACCTCCGAGCAATTACTATTAGAGGGAGTCTTCCGCCCTTCCCCGCGCTAAATTTTGTTAGCAACATCTACTCCCGCCGATGGGGAAAATACTTTCTGAAACATGTCAATTTCTTATTTGTATTTTACGGAAAATATTATTATTTATAACGTTGTAAGGGTTGTAAATGTATATTTAAGATTTATTATCTCTAATAATATGGCGAAAACATGCTTTATGTCTAAAAGGCTTGTTGAAAATGCTTCTTCAAGATAATATCATAAGTAAGTATAGACACAACCTAATTATCAGAGGCGGTGCATTAGACAATCACCTTTAATTTGCAATTAAACTTTCTTATTTTCTTATCGAAAAATTAAAATTAAGAGCAAGTAAAGTCCAGCTAAGTTCGTCTTTATCCGTCTCATAATGATTATAGTAAAGGTTAATTACTTATTATTATTTTAATATCACATCTTTGTAAGGCTTATTATTTTTTTTAGGTTTCCTTTTCTTGATATGAGAAAGAAATACATGATTCTAAAATATAGGAATTCAATAAGTGACCACCTGAATAACTTTTTATGCTAATGAATATTTTTATTACAGACCTCAGGGAAGGAAAATATTAAAGAAAAATGCAATTTCGATGAAAGTAGTATAATAATCAATCCTGTCACTACTTCTACACTATATTCATCTGCTACTAAAATACTTAAACAGCAAGTAAGTATAGAAACTTAAGTTTCTCTCAAAAAGAATGTTTAAGGAAAAAGGCATAGCCATTTTTTTGTTGACACTTTTTTTTAACTAATCTAAAAGACTAATTTTGTGTATTGTTTAAATTTTCATTTTTTTGTACTTAATTTGTTTTAGGTTTAAACAAAATGAACTTCTAAGACATGCATGGAATATCCCAAAAGATCTAAGGAAGGTTTTAAAATTCTTAAGAAAACTATTCAGAACCAAAAACATAAAATAGTCTTCCTGTCCAAAATATAAATTGGTATAAATATTTAGATATTATGAGTGATTTTTTATTCTATAAATAGAACATAATTTGTTTCTAAATCACTACCTAATGAACTATATTATATAGTACAAAACTAAACAAGAATATCACATTATTTTATGTTTTTTTTTAATTTCCTTAAAAAACGTCCCAAAAAAATGTGAATATTTATTATTGGAGTTTACATCATTATGCTAAAACAATACTAGAACAACTTAAATAATGTGGATTTTGAGTTATGCAGATCATTATGATCTAAAAAAACTTTTTCTGGTGCTAAAGTCAGGTATAAAAACATTTATTTATTTAAACACAGTTGCAATATACATTTTATTTAGTTTTTAAGTTAAAACCTATTAGGACTTCCTAAAATGACTTTTTTCGTTTGATGTGAGATTAATTATTCTACATTTTTGTTGGTGAAATAGGATATATTAAGATGTCTTACTGTTTTCTCTGATTATCTAAAGAGTTAGAACAATATACAGACTGTTGTAACAAAAAAGAGATATACCTTTACTTAAACACACAATTAGTCAGTTCAATTGTACGATAATTTAAAGCAGAAATCCAAAAAACTTTAAAAATGTGTTTTTACTATAACAAGGACATAATTATTAAAAAAACTTGGCACATTAACATTGACGATAGGTTTTTATAATATATAATATACAAATCACAACGAACTACACAAAATGACATTATTAATAATTTAGCAATAAAAAAGTTAAGAACAATGATGACATTAAAAGTTGAGTTTCTCGAAATACTTTTTTTAAATTATCTCAGTACCTACCTAGTATTTTTCTAGCACAATGATATTATATGAATGTGCATTGTGTGATATCTTATATTTTAGGAATAAAATGATATATTTTTTGCAGGTTAACAACGATTCCAAGAACTTTTGAAAATAATATTAAAACGGCCTTTGCAAATATAATTCTTAATTAAGAGCTTTTGATCTAACATTAAATTTTTATTCTCCATGAGGTTACAGCTTCCTAAGAAGAAAGTTTAACAAGACTTACCAGACCCAAAATATCAAAATTTTACCAACCAATTGATAGTTTCCATAGGAAAATTCTCCTCGAAACTACTAAAAGAAAAGTGGCAGAGGCAACCGAAGAAGGCAAAAAAGTCTTTGCAAAACAAAAACTCGAAAATTGTTTAAGAATCTAATTATTGTTTGAAGTTTTACCATTAATAATTTTTGATAACGATTTAAGATTATGAAGTTTTATTATGTATTTTACTCATTGATAACCTATGTTTAAATTTTTATTAGGACCAAAATAAATTATAATTTTCATTTCAACTACAAAAACCCTCATTATATTAAAAAGGGGAAAAACGTTAGATTAGTTATGTTCAGAAATAAACTCTTTAAACATTTATCTACTTAAAATGTGTTACTTTTAGAAGGTATGTTATTAACTTTCTATTTGTACTTGTATTAATTTATTTTATTTTATTATCTGTTGTATTTTCAAATTGATTTTGATATTAATCTTATCTATTTATATATTTTTTATATTCACATGTTTTTTCATTGAAACAAACGTTTATTAGCTTATTAAATATAATGAATTTATGTCGTTTTATTATATGCTTGTATGAATGATTACTTTTATTTCCTTTTAAAAATGAATTTCGAAGATAAAGCTGAAACAGTGAGTGAGAATAAAAAATTAGACGAAAGTGACGATATCTACTGGAGCTTTCATCTACACGCTCCTTTTTCTAGCCATCTACACCTGAGCCAGCAAGATTCGTCTTCCCTCCATCCTTACATTCTCCAGATTAACAGAGAAAACGCCGTCCTCTTTAACATATCCAGACCTTCTTTGACGGGGACTATACCACTACATTATCAGCTTTATTTGTTATCCCGAGCAATTTAAATGCATTCGTAATTGCTCATTCTCACCTCTTTTCTTGTAGATTCCGTACTCAGTTTTCTTATTTTTAGTTACGTTTGCACTGCTCTTTTATTTTCACAGCTTTAATTTTATAATGCTGTGACGCTACATGGATCCCTTTTTGTGGTTTATACTACTTAATGTTATTCGTAAGTGACCAACCTATTATAATAATTAAAGATTATTGTATTACAGGCCTGAAGATGTTTCTGAAAGGCCGAAACTAGTCGCTACTGTATTTATTTGTGATTAAATTGATTTTAAGGTTTTATTCTTCAATTGAAAAAATTAGACCTATACAGTGATTTTGTTTCATTTCCTGCATTAGACTCATATAAAACGGTATTCATTTTAAAAATAAAAAAATAAGCAAATTTTTTAGTTTTTTTTACAATTAAAACGTTTGGACAATGTGTGTTTTTATAGATAAATGATACGCCACTGAACAAGAAGGATGTTTACCTTCCCCCTTGTGCCCGCTTCCTCACATCCTCTACAGATGTTTCTAACACAACAATCGCCTACAAACTCGTTTTCAGGCTCCCTCTATTAGTAATTGCTCGGAGGTGTTTACTGTTACTGCTTACTAACATCATTATTAAAATTTGCAATCGGTTAGGAGCATTTCAATCATTTCTAATATTGGTTTGCAAGGATTAATAAAGAAAGGATCAAATGAAAAATACTTATTGCATATAAAACATGGTTTCAAGCCATAGGGTTATTAAATAATAATATACCATTGGGTTCTGATCCAATAAAAACTATGCTTATTTTTCTGAGAGTTTGGAATAAGGTTCTTGCATCTTTTTGTAGTTTTTTTAATATTAATTGTGCATATAATTATTCTCACTAATTTATTTACAATTTTATGTGGTAAGTAACCTACTTTTTATTATAAATTAATTTTAAAAGCAAACAATAAAAGTTGGTATTTTTTAAGGTGACTGACAACATTGAATTTTTATCAAAATAGACACCTGTCAATATGGATTGATAACTTAATTCAAATTTAATGGTCGAATAACAGTTATTTTGGTTCTAAAGTCGCAAAATCAGTGAATATTTTACTCTCTTTTCATTATTACCAGTTTCACAAGGATTCTGCCCGCTTCATTTGATGACGTAAGCATATCCTATACAAATATACCTATATTCTTTGATATTGAACAAATATGTATAAGTCCGGAAGTTTAATTACTCAGTAACCCTTTTTGGTACTTCTCCAAATAACTTTGGCAGAACTCTAAGAACTTCCTTTTCTCAATTTAATATTTAGAATTAGTCGAAATTTATCGACATATTTCCATACATACATCGGCTAGATAATAAAGGGTGTTTCAAAAAGGTATGTCATAAATTATTCCTCAGATAGTTTAAAAAAAATAATAAGTGGATTTGGGTATATTTACAGAAAAACGTTTTTTTGTTTTGTAAAAAGTTTGCTGTTGCGATTTTTTCTTCCAAATTTTTTCCAGTGCTGTAGATTTGAACGCCTAATATTCTAAGGATAAAAAAATTTAAAGCGACCCCTTTAAAACAAGTTAGAGGTTTGGGTACCTTTAAACCAAAATCAAAGAAAAAGCTATGAATTTTTAAATTTTTTTGATAGCTAAATGAATTTTGTATCTTTATTAATTAACGAGCTATTTACAATTTTTTAATTCAATTTCTAGAGCAATTCGTCCCTCCTGAACAGTAGATAGACAAAGCCAATATGGC